GTAAATGATTCCAATATTTTTTAACCGGTAAGTCATATAAATATTACTATATGTAACTGCGAACGGGGTCCCCATTGCAGTTCCACTGATTTGATGGTAAAATTTTCCATTAAATTCAAATTCATTGTTAGTAAGTATAAAATTAGCTAGTTGAAGGATGGCGTTGATTTCTTTAGGTTGTAAATTGCTGTCTTCTTCACAAGCTACTTTAAGGGCTTCTATTCCTTCTATTATAGGAATATTAGGATATAGACTAATAACATTGAATGTGAGTAGGTAGGTATTATTACTTATATTTATATTTTGGAGTTTTTGAAGAAAATTAGTGGTGTCTCTCAGGTTTCTGCAATGGGTTTCAATTTCCAATCAAGCCAATATGATGCTTTAGCTGTGGGAGAATTAGTATGACTGCAAATAGGTCTTCCTGGAGGGATTTCACCTTTATTCTTAGTCTTATGTATTTTACCCAAGATGCAAAATTATGGAGTTCGCTGTTTAAGGCCAGTGAAGAATAGCTTTTTTCTCGTTATCCGGTATTGCCAAATTAAGAATTATTTTCTCAAGGTTCTGATGAAACATGTGGGAGTTGTCACTGGGTACTTCTTGATACATGCTCAAGTCATTGAGGTGTTTAAAACATTCCTTAATATAATCCTGTTTGTTCCATATAATTATACCACCACTTTTGTCACTATTGCCAATTACAATATTTGTAGCTGCTTCGAGTAGATAGCTTGTTTCTTACTTTATGTTCTCTGTAATTTTTCAACAGTCTATACTGATGTTTACAATGCAACTCAAGGGCTTCATCTCTGTTGAAAGGAGGTGACCAATTCCTCTTTATATAAAGAGAAGGGGACTTTAATACACCTTGTCATGAATCTTATGTCTGCACTGTGCTTGATAAAATCCCTCAGAACAATAGAGCCAAACTCAATATTGCTGAATCACTTTGGATCCACAGATTAAACACTGTATGGCCTAGTGCTTTAAATGAAATGCCTGTAAATTAATTCTACACCTTTTTTAAACTATATATCGTCGGTGAGCTATCAAAATTGCGTATATCGTCAAAATTTCGTATATCCTTTTTTCCCAGTTTCTAAACCCCCGGCGTCTGGCGCGAATTTCTATCTGGGTCTCGTAATTCCAAACCAATTAGAAATACTCATTTGGAACACGTGAACAAAAATTGTATTTTGATTGGTGATTATTTGGTATCGTAAAATTTCGTACCTCCGGTGAATTTGATCGTCACCTTCTGTGATTTTGCCTAGCTAAACAATTGGACTTATAGGTGAGCAATTTGTTATTTTTATAACTTAATTAATGTTTATGATACTTATCAGACATGAAACTCGCTAAAAGAATATGAACTATCAATCGGCCTTTAGAGTTCTGAATTATGATGATATTTAGAGATAGACTTCCTATGTATGCATCGTGGGTGTTATTTATTAATAAAATTGGTAAATATATTTTCTACATATTCATTGCAGCAATGTATTAGCTTTGTTTAAAAATATAACGAATACGGAGTGCTAATAATCGTATTAATTTGAAATTAGTGATATACGAGAATATAACATAGGAATATCTCTGACGTCTAAGCCTGTTGATAATCAAGTTAAACATATACGAATATTTGATATGTAATATTTGATAATGCCTTGAGGTGTTTATCGTAAGATTTTTAAAGATATTCCCAAATTATGTTTTAGAAAATCAACAAAATGGGTGATTTTTCAAGAGGAAAATTGTTACTAAAAATGGCTCTAAACTCTAAAAGTAATAGGCCTTCAAATCCAGGTGAAGTGGAATCAAGTTTGGCATTTCAGAAAATTTCTAAGGAGCCTGTTCTTACGTGGAACAGGAGAAGATCTCAAATATTTTCATCTGGAATTTCAGTTGCGAAGACTGACATAGGCCTATTACCATCAATGGTTGGCATTACCAAGGAAACGTCTGCACATCGAACAATACTGTCTATACCTACGTCGACACCAAAACCAACACCCAACTTATCCGCATCGTCTCCGTACTTGCTTGCGATGCTTTGAGTTGGGCAATTTCACTGACTCTGAGAGTGAGTTCGATGATGATGATGATAGAGATCCAGAATGGACACCAAGAAAGAAGACTTCTATGTTTGAACTTGACTCTGAGGATGGTGTACAGCCCATTCTTGATGATGATATTTTGACAACTATCATTATCGATTCACCGAATACAACCATAAAAGGCAATTCTCGTGCGGGTATCCTAAAGACAGCTGCAGCAACTAAAAGACGCGTTTCGGTATCCAATACAGAGAAGGTCAACCATGCGCGACACTTCCTTTACGAACTCCCGACATTACCTTCACATTATTGTAGGTCCTCTTCGAAGAAACATTATCTTGAGCCAGTCTTTACTAGTGCTTCTGAACTATACAAAGTGTATGTGAAGGATTGTAAACACAATGCTAAGCTGTTCCTTCGCAGGAAGGCTTTCATATCCATATTCAATGATCTTAATTTGGGCAAGAGGCGAGAGCTGAGAAAGCTGCAGACAAACTTCGTTCAGAAACTGAAGATAAGGTTAAAGATGTGACATTAGATCTCCAGTCCTTGTTATTATGTCCTTTGCTTACAGCTAGTTCCATGTACTACAAGACGAAATTGGGATGTCATAATTACACAATTTTTGATCTTGCGAGCAAAGATGTGGTCAATTACTTTTGGCATGATGGTATTGGGGACCTTAATGCAAACACTTTTGCCTCTTGCTTAAATGATTATATAAATTCTATCGACCATGATGTCAAAGAACTTATTTTGTATAGCGATAGTTGTACATACCAAAATAGAAATGTAATTTTGTCAAATATGTTACTAAAAGCTGCCACAGAGAGAAATAACCATCGTGCAAAAATTTCTTGAAAAGGGTCACACTCAGATGGAATGTGATTCAGTTCACAGCACGAATAAGAGAAGAATTTGCGGTAAACCTATTTATATTCCACAGAATTATGTGGACTTAATACGTACAGCAAGAATAACCCCACTTTATAAAGTGAAATATCTTACACATGACTTTTTAAAAACTTTCTTGCTCTTAGGTTATTATTCCACAATTCGTCCCGGTGCACGTAGTGGTGATCCTGTAGTTACGGATATTCGTGTTTTGCAGTATAAGGATGGTAATATTCAGTACAAAACAAACTTTGCTGATGAGTTTAATGATCTCCCTAGACGTAATAAAAGGTGTCCTCCGTCAAAGAACGACCCTCTGGGGCTCCATTGCTTATACGTCGCCCCACTTAAATTCAAGTCAAAAAAGTACACCCATTTACAAGAACTTAAAAAGGTATTACCCTCTGATTACCATCCTTTTTATGACAATTTACTTCATGAGGCATAATAAGTTGAATGTGTCAATTATGTTGATTATTTGAAGTACTCGTTTCATTAACTTATATGAATGAATTTACTAAAATAATGTTGGGTTTTTTTTTTTTCATGTTTTGTAAGGTTTAGCTAATCATAGTCCTACATTATGAAGTTTGTTATTATTTACTGTTGTTATATTGTAATTAACTTGAAATATCCACGTCCAGTAGACGTGTTCATGTTTTGTTTTAGTCAAAATAAATTAATAATGAACATTTTTGTTTGATATCTTTATTTTAACATTAGCTTCAAAATTTCGTATATCTCCAAAAAAGACCACATTTTCCTATTACTACAATGTCAAAATTTTGTATGTGTGCTTACGTAAAATTATATCATTATTTTCTGTTGTGCTTATTATCAGTAAGTAACGTGTAAAATAACGTTTCCCCGTTCCAAATTTCAAGATGATACAACAATATCCCACAAATTTATTCAGTTTTTTGTTCCTCCTGTAAAATTTGTATGCCTTCGTATACACCACTATACGCAATTTTGATAGCTCACCGACAATATCATTTAGCTTATTCTTTATATTATGTCATCAAAGTTATAACGTCATATTAACATTATGACATCACTTGTTACCATGACTAACCTTGTACTTCAACTGTATCATTTGTGTAGCTTGTATTCTGTGAAGAAGTAGGTTTTTAGACTTATGAAACGTTACATAGCATAAAAGATGGTTTTGTGATACCCATGACTTCTGTTGGCTAAACACAAGACACACAAACATTGGGCGTGGCTCTGTCCCAGGGGGTCGGGCATGCACACAAAATAATAATGGAGGTCAGTCTGAGAGTATAAGGAATAAGTATAAAAAAGTTTTCAAGACGATCAATTAAGAATTGTGGGCTTTAAGTGACACACAAAAAGAAAATGGGTGTGGCTCTGCCCCTGGGGGTTGGTCATTCACCACAAACAATAGAGATGTTCCTTAGGATAGAAGGAACAAGTATGCAAAGTTCCAAGGTGATATGTTAACAAATGCAGACGGGCATGCACCAAAAACAATAGGGATCATCCTTAGGGTATAAGGAATTCCTACGAAAATTTTTCAAGATGATTGATTAAGAATTGTGGCCTGTTGGCGACACAGACATGCAAAAAGAAAATGGGTGTCGCTCTGCCCCTTGGGGTGGGGCATGCACCCCAATGGTAGGGATTTTCCTTAGAGTACAAAGAATAAGTATGCAAAGTTTCAAGATGATACGTTAAGAAATGCGGCCTGTAGATGACAAACAAACAAATACAAGAAATGGGCGTGGCTCTGCCCATGGGGGGTCGGACATGCACCAAAAACAACTGGAGATTTGAAACCATGTCAGCTGACCCAATGACAGACTTTATGATACAGCGCGCACGTACTAACCATTCGGCCATCCAACCCCCCTAGGGTACAAGGAATAAGTATGTAAAGTTTCAAGATGATCACTTAAGAATTGTGGCCTGTAGGCGACACACAGACACACACACAGACAATGTGGACCTATAAAAACTGGTGACATCAGGGATTGATAGCAGGCAAAGGCCACAACATAAAGCAAAAAAATGTAAAATTCTTACTGTGTTTAGATAAACTTTTGACGGATGAAATCCTTTTTTATCTACACGTATTGTTGTGTTATCATAACGATCATCACATATAACACTACTCAGTTTTACTTGATCAGTAATCTAAAATATAGTGAACAATTCAAATATAAGGTAAAAATTAAGTTTAAGATGTAAATTTAAAGGAGGAGGTATAATTATAAGTTACTGTTATATATACTATTCAAAAAAAGTAGGGGATATTTGATTTTTAAGTGTTATTAAAGTCACCTAATGAAACTGACGAAGAAACAAATGACAAAATGAAATGAAGTTCACATTCATCGATTTATTCCAAATGATCGTTAGACTAAGTAAGGCACAGACTGACCATTATAAGGGTAAAATGATACCCGGGGTCAAACAGCAAAGTTACCACAGCATCACAACCAAGTCAGTAACAGGTAAATCCTCCTCTGTTTGCCAAACAAGCATAGATCCGACGTGGCATACTCCTAATGAGACGTCTAAGGTCATTTTGGTCCAGATTGTCCCATTCCTGTTGCAACGCAGCAGCAAGTTCTTGGACATTGGCAGGACGTTGTTGACGTTGACGTAACCTCTGTCCAAGCATGTCCCAGACATGCTCGATGGGGGAGAGGTCGGGACTCAGTGCTGGCCAAGGTAATGTGGTGATGTTCTGTTGTTGGAGGTAACCTGTAACGATCCTGGCCCTGTGACATCTTGCGTTGTCATCCTGGAAGATGAAACGGCGGCCATGACGTCGTGCGAACGGCACAACATGGACTGCCAAGATGTTGTCCCGGTAGTACTGGCCTGTAACACGCCCTGCAACAACATGTAAAGCCGTTCTTCCATCAACAGTGATGCCTCCCCACACCATAACAGAACCACCCCCAAATCGATCATGTCTGATGACGTTAACGCCTTGGAAGCGCTCGTTTCGACGACGCCACACCCTCCTACGTCTGTCCAAAAAATCAACAGTGAACCTTGACTCATCTGAAAACATCACATTGCTCCAGCGTCGATTATCCCAGTGTTGACGATCCCTACACCAACGACGTCTTGCCTGAATGTGATGATCTCTCAAACAAGGGATCACGCTAGGACGTCGGGCGCGAAGGTGACCCCTATGCAGTCGATTCCGAATCGTCTGGCCACTCATTCTCACACCAGTGTCTGTTTGAAGACGAGCGCTGATCTGATTTGTTGTGATGACATGATTTCTCAAGGTTAAGGTACGGATAAATCGATCCTGGGCTTGAGTTGTCGCCCTTGGTCGACCTGAGCGTGGTCTGTCCTGTACAGATTGTGTATCACGGTATCTGGACCATAGCCTGCTTATGACAGACTGAGAAACATTCATCGTCCGCGCCACAACCGCCTGTGTTGTGACGATCTGTAGCATGCCAAGGGCACGTAACCTTTCATTTTGGGTAAGCCGACGCTTATCAAAATTTGTTTTCTGGTCACTAAAACAATTAAACTGATGTTTCCACCCTGGAATTCAATGCCACAATGACTGTAACATTCAAAGTCAGAGTCGTGCAAATCTTGGGTTGGACCCCCATGATGATCCCAAGCATCACCTGCATTCCATGCGGTAGCTATTGGTGCGTTTGGGCGTCACATGTAACTGGAAATGTTTCTTCTGTTAGGTTCTATAGTGACTTTTTTCGTAGTCATTTGCATATTTTAGTATTATGCCCCCAAAATCAAATATCCCCTACTTTTTTTGAATAGTATATGTCAAATGTGATTCTATATTCTGGCAGTCTCTTTAGCCCCACTTTAGGTCATCTGACAAAACAGGTTTTAGAATTGGTTGTTCTTAATTTTTACACTTAGTGGAGTGTGTTACATTCAAGCGTTATTCAAAGGCTATATTGTAAGATTCCTTGGTTAAATGAAAACTTAACTGCACGCTTAATTTATTGGGATTAGTATAATGTGTATTTTTATATAATTATTGTGATTTTTATAATGTGTATTTTTATTCCACCAATGTTTATTTACAATGTTTTCTAGTCATTTATTTGTAGTTGTCAGCAATATGACATTTTACACCTTACCAAGTGTTGAGTTCAGTTATTGGATGAGGGACACATGCTCTCTAGCTAACTTGAGTGAGGTTAAGGTACTATCTTTATAGGACATTAATAAAAGTGTTTGATGGTAATGCTATAACAAACATGCACAAGAAAATAATGGTAAGGTAAGACATAGGTGTCTTAATTGCTTCAGTTGCATTCATCATCATTTGATAAATTTATATACAAACGAATACAAGAACATGTTGCAAGTAATACTACTGCCTAATCTGCACAATAACTTCAAACACAGGACCTACTATTTTAATCTGTGCTTTGAAAATCTGAAATCCATGCTTTGAAAAAATAGTATATATTCTCGTGAATCTGAAAATATTGTACAAGGATTCTGAACAAGAGAGCCACCAGCACTCATTGATTATGTTGTTGGGCTTAGTATCCAGTCTTATGATTTTTTTTACTTTTTGTTCCTTAAGTTTCGTGTTTTGACGCACCCCATACCATTTAAGCATTAAAAATTAACCAATTTATTGCATTTATCAAAATGACATATCTGTATGATCAAACTTACTGTGACTTTCTTCTTTTGGAATGATTTACTAACTAGATGAATAGAACCACTAGTACTCACTGCTCTACCAATACACCGCCTACAAAATGAACAAGATATGCTTTAAAAACAGTTGCCAGGTACACAATGCATAAGATACCTGAGGAGTAAATTAAATGGTGTGGCATTATGATTCTTTTCAGGCCTAGTCGTTTGAAAATCTCAGGAGAGCATAAAATACATCCCTGAAAAAGTTTAGGAGCGTGATTTACACTCTTTCCTTTAAAATAGATGGAATCTTAAAAATATTATATTGTTCTTTAGCTATTATGTATCTGGGGATATTTTGCTTATTTAATTGAATAAAGATTCCAAAATCTGAGATGTTTTGTACATTTGTATTTCATCATCTGGTAATAAAATTAAAATTAATTCCGAAAATTTAATAATTATTCCAACATCATAAGCTGAGAAATTTATGTAGGTCATTGATATCAATAAACAGTTTGATTCATAAACTGGGCTAATAAAGACGGGCTATGATGGAAATTTTGCCCGAACAGCAGCCTACTCTTATATCGAATTCCAACTGTCAAGGGATCGTTTACGTGCATACCAATGTGTACACGGGACCTTGGTTTTTCGTCCATCTAAACGACTAGACAGCTGTTCTTGGCGGGCCCTCCATCCTGCATCACTGACAAGGGGGAACTACACTGGAAAATCTGGATGAACTTTCTCGGCCAATGCAGGGCCAAACACCCGACCTCCAGGCTAGCGAGCCAATGTCTTACTCACTTAGCCACCATGTCCCCCCTCCGATCCAAAATGAATATTAATAGTATTAGAGATAAGAGTGGCTATAAAGACCTGGTTATTCAGAGTGTCAGTGACTAGTTGAGTGTTAGTGACTAGTTTTGTCCGTATTGAAGTCTTCAGATTGATTGGACTCACGTGGCAGGCATTTTTATTATTCCACGGGGGTGTCCATGATTACCAGGGTAGATCGCTTACCGGGGTTCTACAGAGTTTTAAAAACTTGGCGGGGTTACCGGGGTTGGCATCTTGGCGGTGTTTGCAAATATGTTACCGGGGTCGATAGCTCGCTTACCGGGGTTGTACAGAGGTTTGACAACCGATCGTTTAGATTGAAGTGCTAGTGTCCATAATTTTGCTAACTAGGATGCCTTTGGTTGGTTTGTAACATTATAACTTGTCATAACAATAAAGGGATAGTATATGGACAAAGGTGTTGAGGTAACACCCGTGAGAGGGTTAAAAGGCTAAATATAAATCCAAAGTAGTAGTAGTAGGATTTTAAAACGTTAAATACTGTGTAATTCAACATGGCGCCCGAGGGGTTTAATATTATATAGGTACGAATTAGTTCCAAATGATTTATTTATATGCGAGTCAAGGTTTGGACTATGCCTTGGAAATCGGAAGTAGAAGGCGACCAGTATGTGTCTGTCTTTTGTGGACCGAGGTGAGATTGTCCATTGTATTAACTGGTCGGGTAGGCCTGTTCACCTTCGATTAAGTATCAAAGTTGAATGAGCGGCTTCTTATCAACCTGATCGGCTCTGGACCGGTTTGATTCTACATATCTCTTGTAGCTGAGAGAATAAAGCAAAAACAACCGAAATATATTTCTGCTTTATTACTAAAAAGACGCCTTCACAGTTTCACATTTATCAAATTTATAAAAACGTGCCACGATGCTTAAATTGTGCATCTTACCTTCAATAGCAATATCCATAAAACAGAAATCTCCATATTGATACATAATATGGCACAACAGTGGTAATTTCCACACAAATGATATATTTAAACTAAAATTACTTTAGCTTTTTACCAAAACTTACATCACATACAATCCAACGATCCTCATTCCAGAACTTGTAATTTATAATAGCCTATTTCATGCAATTACAGAATTGTCCCGTAATATAACATATCAAAGAAACCATTATGCCCGATATGACACGTAATCATTTTTCGAGGCTTTGTAGTAATATTGGACCTCCTTGTTGTGTTTACTTCATGATCCTAATATATAAAACTACAGGTTAAATGGTTTCTTCAACTTTATTATTAAGCTGGATTGGCTTCATAGGTCCGTCGTTCTCAATAAATGATAGCTGCTCGGAATACCTGAGTGAGCTCTGATCAGTCTCACTCTTTTATAAACCCCTAATTTCTGCACGTCCTAGACTGAACTTGACGTTAATTTCCATCGTAATATCTGAATATCGAACGTGAAATTAGATGTTTGACAACAAAATTGAACACCTTGCGTAATAGGACACCTTGACTGATTTTAATCACGGCTCGGGAAATTGAACGGTCCAACTAATTATTGAACAGTCGTGCTAATTAGACGGGACGCTTATAATTCAACACGTGTTGTGAAACCAAACACTAGTTAATTAGACGCTTGGTAATCAAAATTAAACAGTGAGATTGAAATTCGACAGAAGTACAAATTGGGCACTATTCGCCGAAATTCAACAATATTTTTGAATAATTGGACACAGTAGAAATTAACGCTATTTACGCTAGATTAAACGGTACCAAAGTTACAGTGATAACTGCTTTACATGACAACTGTGTGACGTTTGGTGACAAATACATTCAAAATAGACTGGTCAGACTGAAGACAAAGACTATGAAGCTGGGTAAAAGTAAGGCCAAGTCCACTATATCTATAAAATCATACGATGATTTTCTTGACACCCCTTTTTTTCCCGGGATAGCGGATGAGACTCCATCGACAGATACTAGTGAAATTAATTTAATAAATAGAGACACTCAGACATCTGCCGATGCGACCTTGACTGACTTAAATAGGAAAAATAAGTATTTGCAGCGATTGTCAAAGTGTCATAAAAGCACAATTGCCCAGTCAACCAGCAGCTGCAAGGCAGGATACGTTCGGATATGCGCGATTATAAACATAAATTTAAAGTTTCATCAAAATCAGACATAAATTGTGGCCTCTGGAGGGTCAACAACCTTAATATACCATATTTTTACACTATTTGCATACGAGCGGCGTCCATTTTGTCCGGTAGTTTTGGTCCAATTTTCACGAAATTTGATCTCAACTATCATCAGGGTGTAACGGTGATATCCTTTATGCGCGAATATCGAGAGGAACCAGGATCTTTGGGTTATAAACATGTATTTAAATTTTCATCAAAATCGGATCAAAATTGTGACCTGTAGAGGGTCCACAACCTTGATATACCGTATGTTTACACTATTTGTGAACAAAGGGCGGCCATTTTCACGAAAGTCAAATTTAACAAACATTACAGTGTAATGTTGATATATTTGAAGGTTTTTTTTAAATCGGATAATAATTGTGACCTCTAGAGGGACCACAAGATACAATAAAATCTTATCTTATCTTACCGTGCGTGATCACGCTCCTAAAAAAAGCAAGGCCTGGGCCTATATGAAACATTTATCAACACTTTAAACTGTTAGCCTAACCTAAAGATTGATTAAAAACGTATTCTTCTGTCAGCCTCGATGTTTGCTTCTTTTTTGATTTTGTTGAAACAAAGAGAGATAGAGAGAGAGAGAAATGGGGTTTAACGTCCACTTGACACAAACCAGGTCATTTCGGGACTAACATATGGTTTTTAAAAAAATTTTTTCAATAAATAGCTTGTGCATAGGGGTCTTTAGCAGTAGGAGGAAACCGGAGAACCCGGAGAAAACCCACGAGGTTGGACAGGCGACCCTACTCCTTGTCACGTACAACCGGGGATTCGAAACCACGCCAGTCGACTCAATGACAGACTTAATGATACAGCGCGCGCACGCTAACCATTCAGTCATCCAACCCCCACGTTCTCACAGTGAATAGAAGGTAACGAAGCAAAATGGCGTCTCATAGAACCATGAAGCATAGCACCACCTGGACAGGTTACCCCCTTGATCAGTAGTGAGATCGCCCATTACATTACACAGATAAACATCTGTAATCAACAGTTTGGTAGTTTATAAGAATTTAGCAATAATCTTTACATACCTAGGTGAAAATAGATTCTCTGACATCTGACCATCTAACAGTTGGTCTAATGTCTCAATTTGATTAATGTCATAAAACTGTGGTTGGCGGAACACCCAGCAAACTATATCATTGGTTTGTACCGTAACCGGATCAGGATAAATTTCAGTGTTTGATACTGTTACTTCATGCACCTACCAAAAAGATAAAAAAAAAAAGAGGTGAGCCATTTGTAAATATCTTTATGTATCCTAATAATCATATATTTAAAGTATGTTTCAAGATAGGTTCCCAGAAAAGTATTTATCGGGTGGTCATTTCCAATAAAAGTATGGCAATTTCAGTATACAGTAGAATCTGCATTAAGCAGCCACCCAAGGGAATTTTCACAACTTACCGCTTAACAACAAAGTGGCAATGGAAAAGAGATACTAGATGATCGTGACAAAACTTGATACTTTTATTTTATTCAATCAGTATCAAATAATGTGTCGTTACACGTCAAAACAATGATCAGGTTAGTCGTTTAATAAAACAACAGATAATCCTGGCTTGATTGTTATTTTTACATTTCTTTTTACCTGATCAGTGGGGGTCCAGTTAATTAACTACTACTCACAGGATTAGCGGGGGTGTTACAAAGAACGACAAGATGGTATCATTCAACAATGGCCATTGAATGGGCGATGTTTTGTTGAATGTATGAGTAAAATAGTGACCGCTGGCCGTGTTAGAGGAGTGACCGTTGAATAAAGAGATGAAACAACAGAATTTTTACGCGAGGAATTTATCGTGACTGCTTACAAGGAGATGTCGCTGAATAGGAGTGGCTGCTCATACAGATTCTACTGCATATGGAAAGTAGAGATATCCAATCTTACTAGAAAAAATCTGGATTCTCTGAAAAACACTCATGGAGCGTATACAGGACAACCAGCGTCTGCCAGGCAGGATACTCCCACATTTTCAAGAGATGGATAGAGAACAAGCTAAGAAGAAAGTGATTTTTCCTACAATCAAGGGCCATAATTCAGGAAATTACAATTCAATATGCGGAAATATCAAAAGGAACCGAGATCTTTGGGTTATAAACTTACATTTCAAGTTTCAACAAAATCGGATTAAAATTGTGACCTCTATAGGGTCCACAACCTTGATATACCATATTTTTACGCTATTTGAGAACAAAGGGCGGCCATTTTGTTTGTCAGTTTTGGGCCGATTTTCACGAAATTCGAACTCAGCTGTGCTTAGGGTGTAACGACTATATACTAATACATTTTTTTAAATCGGATACAATTTATGACCTCTATAGGGTCCACAAGCTAAAAGTGAGATTTTTCGAACAATCAGGGGTCATAATTTAGAAAGTTACGGTCCAATATGCGCAAATATCGAAAAGAACTGAGATCTTTGGGTTATAAACTTACATTTAAAGTTTCAACAAAAACGGATAAAAATTGTGACCTCTATAGGGTCCACAACCTTGATATACCATTTTTTTTACGCTATTTGAGAACAAAGGGCGGCCATTTTGTTAGTCAGTTTTGGGCCGATTTTCACGAAATTCGAACTCAGCTGTGCTTAGGGTGTAACGGCGATATACTAATACATTTTTTTAAATCAGATACAATTTATGACCTCTATAGGGTCCACAAGCTAAAAGTGAGATTTTTCGAACAATCAGGGGTCATAATTTAGAAAGTTACGGTCCAATATGCGCAAATATCGAAAGGAACTGAGATCTTTGGGTTATAAACTTACATTTAAAGTTTCAACAAAAACGGATAAAAATTGTGACCTCTATAGGTTCCACAACCCTGATATACCATATTTTTACGCTATTTGAGAATATTGAAAGGAACCGAGATCTTTGGGTTTTAAACTTACATTTCAAGTTTCAACAAAATCGGATTAAAATTGTGACCTCTATAGGGTCCACAACCTTGATATACCATATTTTTACACTATTTGAGAAGGAAGGGCAGCCATTTAGTCTGTCAGTTTTGGGCCGATTTTCATGAAATTCGAACTCAGCCATCCTTAGGGTGTAACGGGGATATAATAATACGTTTTTTTAAATCGGATAAAAATTATGACCTCTATAGGGTCCACAAGCTAAAAACGTGACTTTTCGTAATAATTCAGGAAGTTACGGTCAGATATGCGCGAATATCGAAAGGAACTGAGATCTTTGGGTTATCAACTTACATTTCAAGTTTCAACAAAATCGGATAAAAATTGTGACTTCTATAGTGTCCACAAGCTAAAAACGTGATTTTTCGTACAAATAGGGGCCATAATCCATGAAGTTTCGATCCGATACATGCCAATATCGAAAGCAGCCGAGATCTTTTGGAGATAAACCTATATTTCAAGTTTCGTCAAAATCTGATAAGAATTGTGACAATATACGTCCACATGAAAATGTGGGCGTATAAAAAGGCTATTTTTCGGACAATCAGGGGACATAATTCAGGAAGTTAAAATCCGATATGCGCAAATATCGACAGGAACCAAGATTTTTAGGTTATAAACATGCATTTCAAGCTTCATCTAAATCAAATTAATATTGTGACCTCTACAGGGTCCACAACCTTGATATACCATATTTTTACACTATTCGTGTACAAACGGCGGCCATTTTGTCCGGCAGTTTTGGTCCGTTTTTCACGAAATTTGAACTCAACCTTCCTTACGGATAATAATTGTGACCTCCAAAGGTACCACAAGCTAAAAAACGCGATTTTTCATACAATCAGGGGCCATAATTCAGGCAGTTACGTTCCAATGGGCGCAAATGTCGAGAGGAACCAAGATCTTTGGGTTATAAACATGCATGTCAAGTTTCATCAAAATTGGTTCAAAATTGTGACCTCTATAGGGTCCACAAGCTAAAAACGTGATTTTTAGTACTATCAGGGGCCATAATCCATGAAGTTTCGATCCGATACATGCCAATTTCGAAAGCAGCCGAGATATTTTGTTGATAAACCTATATTTCAAGTTTCGTCAATAACAGATAAGAACTGTAACCTGTAGAGAGTCCACAAACAATTGTGGACAGACGGAAATCCAGACATACGGACGTCCGAACGGACAGGGGCGACGACAATATACGTCCACCGTATAAAAACATAGCTGTATTCAAAAAATGTTCAAAGGTAGTTCTAAAAAGTTTTAACATTGATTATCAAATAAACCGTTGACAGCATGCACTCCATATTATGCTGTTTGGTCTTGGAATTAAATATATACTATTCAAAAAAAGTAGGGGATATTTGATTTTGGGGGCATAATACTAAAATATGCAAATGACTACGAAAAAAGTCACTATAGAACCTAACAGAAGAAACATTTCCAGTTACATGTGACGCCCAAACGCACCAATAGCTACCGCATGGAATGCAGGTGATGCTTGGGATCATCATGGGGGTCCAACCCAAGATTTGCACGACTCTGACTTTGAATGTTACAGTCATTGTGGCATTGAATTCCAGGGTGGAAACATCAGTTTAATTGTTTTAGTGACCAGAAAACAAATTTTGATATGCGTCGGCTTACCCAAAATGAAAGGTTACGTGCCCTTGGCATGCTACAGATCGGCACAACACAGGCGGTTGTGGCGCGGACGATGAATGTTTCTCAGTCTGTCATAAGCAGGCTACGGTCCAGATACCGTGATACACAATCTGTACAGGACAGACCACGCTCAGGTCGACCAAGGGCGACAACTCAAGCCCAGGATCGATTTATCCGTACCTTGGCCTTGAGAAACCGTGTCATCACAGCAAATCAGATCAGCGCTCGTCTTCAAACAGACACTGGTGTGAGAGTGAGTGGCCAGACGATTCGGAATCAACTGCATAGGGGTCACCTTTGCGCCCGACGTCCTCGCGTGATCCCTTGTTTGAGAGATCATCACATTCAGGCAAGACGTCGTTGGTGTAGAGATCGTCAACACTGGGATAATCGACGCTGGAGCAATGTGATGTTTTCAGATGAGTCAAGGTTCACTGTTGATTTTTTGGACCGACGTAGGAGGGTGTGGCGTCGTCGAAACGAGCGCTTCCAAGACGTTAACGTCATCAGACATGATCGATTTGGGGGTGGTTCTGTTATGGTGTGGGGAGGCATCACTGTTGCTGGAAGAACGGCTTTACATGTTGTTGCAGGGCGTGTTACAGGCCAGTACTATCGGGACAACATCTTGGCAGTCCATGTTGTGCCGTTCGCACGACGTCATGGTCGCCGTTTCATCTTCCAGGATGACAACGCAAGATGTCACAGGGCCAGGATCGTTACAGGTTACCTCCAACAACAGAACATCACCACATTACCTTAGCCAGCACTGAGTCCCGACCTCTCCCCCATCGAGCATGTCTGGGACATGCTTGGACAGAGGTTACGTCAACGTCAACAACGTCCTGCCAATGTCCAAGAACTTGCTGCTGCGTTGCAACAGGAATGGGACAATCTGGACCAAAATGACCTTAGACGTCTCATTAGGAGTATGCCACGTCGGATCAATGCTTGTTTGGCAAACAGAGGAGGATTTACCCGTTACTGACTTGGTTGTGATGCTGTGGTAACTTTGCTGTTTGACCCCGGGTATCATTTTACCCTTATAATGGTCAGTCTGTGCCTTACTTAGTCTAACGATCATTTGGAATAAATCGATGAAATAATAACTTCATTTCATTTTGTCATTTGTTTCTTCGTCAGTTTCATTAGGTGACTTTAATAACACTTAAAAATCAAATATCCCCTACTTTTTTTGAATAGTATATATGATTTGTATTTGCTAACAACATCAAGATATTAAATAACTTAAATTTATTGTTATAATCATCATAAATAGTTCTTATCTGTCTAATTTAAATAATGAAACTTAAATGCCTTAAAGGGTTACCTGTGGTTGTGTTGACACAACAATAGCTCCAAATAACTTTGGAAGATTTGCACTGAAAAATATAGGAAACAATACATAGGCAATTATGTTAATGGTTGTGTATGAAACAACTTCATATTTTATATGCTATGTTTAAAAAAAAAAGGCAACAGTGAGGCTGTTGTCCCCGGCCACAATGGCAAAATAAATAGATGATACATATTAATTAAGTATCAAGCATTGAAGCAATCAAACTGATCATCGATTATAAAGTAGATGGTAGTGAAACTCTACACAAAGCATCAACCAATGAAATTACTTAGGTCTGCTTACACTGTAACATTGGTATCGTTAAATCTAGCGTAAATACTGCTAATTTCTGTTCGGTGTCCAATTATTCATTAACTATAGTTGAATTTCGGCTAATAATGTTCAATTTGTACTTGTATCCAATTTAAATATCAGTGTTTAATTTTGATTAATTACATCTCCCATGTTTTAAGTTTTATTGCCCAATCAAGACCGTTACGTTGATTCAATTCTATTTCCATAAAAATCGCTTGCGCATAGAGGTCTTTAGCAGTGGGAGGAAAAGGGAGGACCCGGAGAAAACCCACAGGGTTGGACAGGCGACCCTACTCCTTGTCACGTACAACCGGGGAATCGAAACCATGCCAGTTGACTCAATGACAGACTTTATGATACAGCGCGCACGTGCTAACCATTCAGCCATCCAACCCCCCCTATGTTATTAGAAAATGTACATCATATATTCATTTAGTCATTATTTCGTGAATTCCAAGTAGAAAAACAAAAACAATTTAACAAAATATTTAGTTGTATGCAGCCCTAGTCCCTCAATGCCGATAGACCACAGTAAAAATATTTTGCCGCTAAAACACTGATATATAAATACAGAATTTGTGCTCACGATTCACAAATAGAGAAAGGAAGGGATAGCAATATTCAGAGAAAAGTATATCGAAAAATACTATTGGTTAAAACCATCAATGTAAAATTGGCATTGCTACTAAGGCTGTGTAAAATTGATACCTTGTTTCTTCTTCCCATGCTCTGGGTAAACCTAAGAGGGTGTGCGGTAAACACAACACAAACTGTAATTTTCAACACAAACTTTTGCAAGGCTTTTATACACTATGAATTTGGTATTCTTTCTCATTCTTATAATATACACTTGAGTTTTTTTCATGCAAACAGCTACAATTTATAAAAGACTTAATAATGTAAAACACATCCAAATTTATATCTTTTATTTTGACTTTCATATCCACAGACTACATTAATGTAGTTTTAAAAACTTAAAATGTAATGAGATATAGGACCAATTTCAGGTCTGAACATCTCCTTTCTTATCAACAAGTCTATCAGATCATTGTGCAATTTATAATCCCCCCAGACAGGCATTTTCTTGGTTGGATATTCTTTCCCCTTGACATGCAGCTCGTGACCCTTTTTTAAGCATATCATCAATTGCATTTTTTTCATTTTCAGGACTGTTTTCATTTCTTGTAATGACTTGAAATATTCAGCGTGGTCGTTTACTACCGGTACTACCTCAATTTGAATATATTTATCAAATGTGTCGGTGACCTGGCCAACATTTAAATTTGACGCAATTTGAGTGATGTTTTGATCTTCCTTCGATTTTCCTGCAAAAAATTTATGGCAACAATCGGCTGCTGGCAAATCCCTTTTAAACAGGTTTTGGGGTACTATATCATCATTCACGCTGTACGTCGACTCGACAATGTCGTCAAAAGTAAAATTATACGGCACACCAATGACTGTCCAGTCAAGAAATATTGTTGCTTTCCGACAGATTTTGAGCGAAACTATCAGTCCATACCCTCCGCCAGACCCTGCCATGCTGATTTTTCACAAGCCAGGACTCGCCTGAAAGTCGCTTTTTCATTGGTTAATATCGATAAGATTACACGTTTCCGGTCACTTTCGTCCATACCCTCCGCCAGACCCTGCCATGCTGATTTTTCACAAGCCAGGACTCGCCCGAGAGTCGCTTTTTCATTGGTTAATATTGATAAGATTACACTTTTCCTGTCACTTTCATCCAATAACCAGCGGCTGCCAGGAAGGATACGCCCACATTTTCGAGAGGTGGATAGAAAACAAGCTAAAACGAAAGTGATTTTTCCTACAATCAAGGGCCATAATTCAAGAAATTACAATTCGATATGCGCAAATATCGAAAGGAACCAAGATCTTTGGGTTATAAACTTACATTTCTAGTTTCAACAAAATCGGATAAAAATTGTGACCTCTATAGGGTCCACAACCTTGATATACCATATTTTTACGCAATTTGAGAACGAGGGGCGGCCATTTTGCCTGTCAGTTTTGCCCGATATATTTCACGAAATTCGAACTCAGTCTTCCTCAGGGTGTAACGGTGATATAATAATACGTTTTTTTAAATTGGATAAAAATTATTACCTCTATATGGTCCACAAGTTAAAAACGGAATTTTCCGTACAATCAGGGGCCATAATTCAGTAAGTTACGGTCCGATATGCGCGAATATCGAAAGGAACCATGATCTTTGGGTTATAAACTTACATTTCAAGTTTCAACAAAATCGGATAAAAATTGTGACCTCTATAGGGTCCACAACCTTGATATACCATATTTTTACACTACTTGAGAACGAAGGGCGGACATTTTATCTGTCAGTTTTGGGCCGATTTTCACGAAATTCGAACTCAGTCGTCCTTAGGGTGTAACGGTGATATATTAACACGGTTTTTTAAATCGGATAAAAATTATGACCTCTATAGGGTCCACAGGCCAAAAAACACATTTTTGTGTACTAACAGGGGCCATAATTCAGGAAGTTACAGTCCAATATGCGCAAATATAGAAAGGAATTGAGATCCTTGGGTTATAAACTTACATTTTAAGTTTCAACAAAATCAGATAAAAATTGTGACCTCTGTAGGGTCCACAACCTTGATATACCATATTTTACGCTATTTGAGAACGAAGGGCGGCCATTTTGTCTGTCAGTTTTGGGCCGATTTTCACGAAATTCAAACTCAGCCATCCTTAGGGTGTAACGGTGATATAATAACACAGGTTTTAAATCGGATAAAAATTGTGACCTCTATAGGGTCCACAAGCCAAAAAACGCGTTTTTGCATACTATCAGGGGCCATAATTCAGTAAGTTACGGTCCGATATGCGCGAATATCGAAAGGAACTAAGATCTTTGGGTTATAAACTTACATTTCAAGTTTCAACAAAATCGGATAAAAATTGTAACCTCTATAGGGTCCACAACCTTGATATACCATATTTTTACGCTATTTGAGAACGAAGGGCGGCCATTTTATCTGTCAGTTTTTGGCAGATTTTCACGAAATTCGAACTCAGTCGTCCTTAGTGTGTAACGGTGATATAAAAAAACGTTTTTTTAAATCGGATAAAAATTATGACCTCTTTAGGGTCCTCAAGCTAAAAACGCGATTTTTCATACAATCAGGGGCCATAATTCAGGAAGTTATGGTCCGATATGCGCGAATATCGAAAGGAACCGCGATCTTTGGGTTGTAAACATACATTTCAAGTTTAAACCAAACCAGATAAAAATTGTGACCTCTACAGTGTTCACAAGCTAAAAATGTGACTTTTCGTACAATCATCGGCCATAATCCATGAAGTTACAGTCCGATACATGCCAATATCGAAATGAACCGAGATCTTAGGGTGATAAACCTATATTTAAAGTTTCATTGAAATCGGATAAAAATTGTGACCTGTAGAGTGTCCACAAACAATTGTGGATGGACAGGGGCGACGACAATATAAGTCCACATAAAACTGTGGGTGTTTAAAATACTGTTTGTTCCAATGTAGGCTACATTGCAGTATTTAATGTCACATGATACATATTTGTAATATTTATATCTGAAACGAATTTGTATATGCCTTAGCTTGTGATGTCCGTCTGTTTTTATGATGTAATGTTCAAAATAAATATGTGTCGGTTTAATAAACAAATTTATATTACACGTTAAATTTATAAAAACGGCTGTCAAACCAGAATTAGAATATTCACGAGATTTGTACCTCAAATTGATTAGTTTCATTTTCTAAATGTGGTTGAAATAAGTTGAAAGAAATCAAAATAAAGGTGAAACATAATTAAACGATTTGATAAAATCCAACGGCTGTGCTAAATTTATAAAAATGGCTACGGAATGAGAATTAGCTACGATGATTAAATAAGAAAAAGCAAATTGTATGCATTGATAATTACATGAATATGAAACATTTAAAATATACCACAGTCTGTTAAAATAAAATGTCCGTATTGATAATATAACACAGCCTGACAATTAGTGGTTCACACACAGAATTACCCCCTGATATAACACGGTCCATGATAACCCAACCATATCAGAAAGCATGCAGATCCACCTTACAATTAGTTCAATTAATTTAAGGTTTATCATAATATGAATAATACAATGTGTCGCATTTTGGAGTTCTTAGTATATTCAATCGTTTTTAACAACCACCAATCAATTATCGTCAATAATCACAAATAACAACTCACTGAGCAGGATGGGTTCAATAATCAACACCAGATTATAACCATTATTGTCAATAATGATTTTTGTGTTACAGTCCTCGTCCATGTTTGGTTACTCTTGATATAGTCCTCGTCTATTTCATGTATATTCCTGATAAAGTAAATGAGCTAGGTTCCCGCGTTGTTTTTCCCGCTCTTTCATCACAACAGAATTAGCAGTGCCACAGACAGTGGTGTGTATGCGTTTGTATTTCTGGTCTGTGGCTAGCGTGAGTTTCATTTTTAGATTACCTTTGTAGTTTGTTGGAATATTTACGATGTGTTTCGTAAGTTGGAATTGTGAATTTGCAATAATTGTTGTCATCGCCTCGTAATTTTCATCATGGCGTGTGATACATTGTCTTCCGCTAAGAGGACTGGCGCTTTGTTTACAGTGAAAAGCCGTTTCGTAGCTTATAGTTAGTGCATTGCTGGGGACATGGCGGATTATGAGTTCGACACGA